CGATTTTAGTTTAGCAAATTTGCATCATGCAACAACAGCGCAACGTGTAAGAAAGGGAAAGCACTATTGCTGCTCTCCTGTGTTCGTATTGCTGTTCTCTTCTTACACGTTGCGCTGTTGTTGCTTGATGCAAAGTTGCCAAACTAAAATCGTTGTCTTTACTAGTAGGTCTTGCAAATACAAAAATTTTATTTTACCACTTCGTGAAGAATTGATGAAGCAATATGAGGATAATTTTTTTATTCGGAAACCGCGTGTATTCCGGCGTACAGAATTTTTTTAAATTTAAATTCTCTTAAAAAATACTTAATTTTAAAATTAAAAATTTTTTTAAATATTTTTCTGAAAGATATTAGGATGTCCCACAAAGTTTCATACCAAATATTAAAATAACTCAAACGAGTCTCAAGTGCTGCATAACTGAAAAATCGGAGCTAATTTACAAAAAAAAATTGTTTAAATAAACGGTAAGAGTTAAAAAAAAAAATAAAAACCGATCCTTATATTTCAATCCTCTATCGAAAAAAAAAGTTTCGATTGATTCTGAGATTTGACCCAAATTGGCCTGTCACGTTTCACGTGGAATGAGTCTTGTACAACTTTGACGAAGTGTAGCTTCTAAACTAATGAATGGAACTCAATGCAGTGTATAAGAAAGTTGGAGGGAGGAGGAGGTTCTATTACCTGTAAAATGAGTTATTTATGGTTGAAATCGGTTAACCACAACCCAAGTTAGAAATTAAAAAAATGTCAAAAACGATTTTTACAATTAAAAAAAAATTTTATCCATAAAAAAAATTTTAAGTGCCAATTTCTTAATCAGGAAGACGTACCTTACCGGAAAACAAAGGTTTCATTCATGGTATATTTCATCGATTTTTTTTTGTAAACTGGTGATATCGAATATTCAATAACTTTCGAATTTTATTTAACTTATTTTGTCTATTTTGCAATAAGTTTTAAACTTAATTTAAGTTTTTCTTGCAAAATTACAAAAAAGTATACATGTTCAAAGCGTATTTGTACTCAACAAAACCAAAAATGGAACATTTTTAATACCCGCCAGGCTACATATTGCAGCCCTGAACAGCTGTTTGCAGCTGCTGTGTTGCTTTATTTACATTTGTAAGTTGGGAAGAATTTTAAAAGCGAACCAAAATGCCATCTGCAGGAACTCTTGCTCTAGAGTACTTGCGAAGACATAAACTGCGAGACCCTAGGATGCAGAGGAGAATCCATAGAATTGGTTTTACATCGTAGGCCATGGGGATTTAACTCATTGGCCAGGTCCTCCCGAGCAATAGTAACAAGAACGCGGCCGCCCTCAGTAAATCCTTGGCAATGTCGATATTCGCGAATGAATCGCTAGAATAGGGCATCTAGTGCTGCTGGATTACATTAAGTCTTGAAAATTATTATTAATAAATAAAAATTGTCCACTTTTAGTTTCATGGTTTCTTTTTCTTCTTTCTTATCCGGCAAAAAATAGGACATTCTTTACGACAGTGCGGCAGTTTTTTTCATGTTGCCATGTTTTTATTCATTTCTCAATAACTACGCCTTTTTTTAAAATGAAATTTTTACCAGAAATAAGTTGTATTTTTAACTACAACTTAAGTACCTTTGAATAAATACTTCGTTAACACAAAATTTCGATAACTACTCCGAAATTAGGTATTTTAAAGTTCGAGCTAGCTTGTACCACTGTCAGGTTGGACGGTTTGCCCATGGATTCTTTTTAGCTAATTTTTTCGAGAGGTTTTATATAAAGCATATTTTTAAATATATACCGAAGAAAATATAAAAATTATAGTATGCAGATCATAAAATTCATTAGAGTTGTCTTAAATAAAGTTACATTTTTGACAAGCAATTGTAAGTTGGTTAATTTCATCAAAACGTCCGGCAAAGTACGGGGGACTTAGAAACCGTCAAAATTGACGTGTGTGACACCGAGATTTGCTATTCGGGGAATATTCGGTTGAAATGGTTTCTGGTGACACCTCCGATTTAAAACATTTCTTGCTAACTTAAGCTGCGGTTTTCTCAGAAGAGGCACAAAAAGGCAGGTTAATTTTTTAGAATTTGTAGTTAAATATCTAAATATTTAACGAGGATCTAGAGTGTAACACTACTTTACGTCCAAGAATATCAAAAAAAAACCCAATTTTTTTTACCACTTTTAAAAATTTTAAAAAATAGTAACTATGCACTTAACTTTTTTTTATTTTTGGGAATATTCTAAGAATTGGTTGCTCTTAAAATTTCAATCGTTACATATACAACTTAGGTGCTTAGGCGCTTTCAGAAAAATTTCAAAGATGTATAAAAATACTTTTTTCTTAGTGGAAGAACCATTCATCACAAATCACTTTTTCTTTTTAATTTGTATAGAGAATTCAATTGTTTTCATACCCGTTACCCGTAGAGTAAAAGGGTATATTGTATTCGTGCAAAAGTATGTAACTGCTAGAAGGAAGCGTTTCCGACCCCATAACGTATATATATTCTTGATCAGGGTTACTAGCCGAGTCGATCTAGCCATGTCCGTTTGTCCGTCTGTATGAACGCTGAGATCTCAGAAACTACAAAAGCTAGTAGGTTTAGATTTTCCACACATATTCTTTGGCTTCCTATTTATTCCTATTTATTTCAGCCAAGCGCCACGCCCACAATCGCCCACTAACGATTTTAAAACGGGTGATGCACCCACATCTTTAAAGATTACCGAGAAGTATACATGCAATTTTGTTGTGTATATTTATATCTATCGAAATGTAGAAGACATTTTTCAAATCGGACCATCCATTAAAAAGTTATACGCATTCAAAATTGTCAATATATATCTATCTCCCTCGCACTCCCTTTAGCTGAGTTACGATTATTAGTCGGGACACCAACGTCCGTCCGTCCGTCCGTTTCTACTCAACCTAGTCTCCCAAGCTATCTCTAAGCTATCGGGATACCAAAAGTCTTCTTTTTATTGCAGTTAGTAATAAGGCCGGATCGGACAACTATTTCTTATAGCTTCCCTAGCTTCAGGGTTTGTTGAAATATTACCTTATATACTTTACATTAAGCAACAACATCGCAACGTGTAAGAAGAGAACAGCAATACGAGCACGGGAGAGCAGGAAAAGTGCTTTCCCTTTCTTACACGTTGCGCTGTTGTTGCATGATGCAAAGTTGCTAAACTAAAATCGTTGTCTTTACTAGTAGATCTTGCAAATACAAAAATTTTATTTTACCACTTCGTGAAGAATTGATGAAGCAATATGAGGATAATTTTTATATTCGGAAACCGCGTGTATTCTGGCGTACAGATTTTTTTAAAATTAAAATTCACTTAAAAAATACCTATTTTTAAATTTAAAAATTTTTTAAAATATTTTTCTGAAAGATATCCCACAAAGTTGCATACAAAATATTGAAACAACTCAAACGAGCTTGAAGTGAATAATCATAGCTACTTTACAAAAAGATTTTTTTTTCAATAAACGGTAAGAGCTAAAAAAAAAACCGATCCTTATTTTTCAATCCTCTATCGAAAAAAAAGTTTCGATTGATTTTGAGATTTGACCCAAATTGGCCTGTCACGTTTCACGTGGAATAAGCCTTATACCAAACAGCACTCTGTAATTGTTTCTTGTTTACAGTGGATCACGTTAATATTCGGTTTTTTGTTTTTTTAACTTCAAACGTGAATAAAAGCTTTGTAACTAAAAAAATAAATAACATAATAATGCAGAAATAAAGCTTATTTTATTACCTTTTCATTGATATACATATATTAATACTTTATTTTTAATTTTAAAGAGATACATGCATAAACAAAAAACAACCCGAATATTGAGGCCACATTAATATTCGGTTAGGTACAAAAAATTCTCGATTTTTTTGTTGAAATGGACGGTCAAGATACCACTAGGATCCTGTTTCAGCGCAATCCATTCATCCCACCAAAAGAAATGGATGGGTAGAAAAGCAGATTCGCTCAAAAATGCATTTTTTCTTAAGTTTTGTATGCAATCAAGCAGCAAAATGCTTGTTCTTAGCGAATCTGCTTTTCTACCCATACATTTCTTTTGGTGGGATGAATGGATTGCGCTGAAACAGATTCCTAGTGGTAGGCGAAGGTCTTGACCGTCCATTTCAACAAAAAAATCAAGAATTTTTTGTACCTTTGCTAATTTTTCTTAACTATATCACGCACATCCATTTTTTATATAGGTAAAACTGGTCCAGAATATGCAAAAACAAAAATTTTTTAAGTGCCAAAACATTTAAACAACCTTATGGGCAATAATGACTAGCATTATAAATGTCAAATTAAGTTTATTTCCTAAATAAATGTTGAGATTTTTAGTACAAAAAGGAAAAACCGAATATTAATGTAGATTAATTAAAGGAGTCGAGAAACCCGATTTGAATTTGCAAACAGTTCCGGACTTTGAGTTTTTCGGACAGATAGCTATCAGGGACTTTGACAGGGACTCTAAAAAAACGGCCCTTAAATGTACAAATTTCTTCTTCGGTAGGTTGAGACAGTGGACAATTTTATTACAAACATTTCTATAAAAGCTGCATGATGATCATGGTTTCGAGAAAAACGAATTTAAAGTAATTTCTACTGCACACGGAAGGTGGGTGCCGTCATCCTGGTATAAGATCCAAAATAATTCGAAATTCTTCGTGAAACTTTCATGACAATTATTCTACCAATTTACAAACAAAAATTGAATTTTTTCTATACGTATCCCCCTCTTTAAATTCAATTTCCAAGGCCTACTGTAAAATACAATCAATTTAATTTTTACTGCAAAATCTACTCGCTAGACAGTTTACCATTATTGGCGACAGATATGTCGTCCGAAAGTGTGTATGCAAAATCTCAGCTCTTTGGATCTAATAGTTTCCGAGATCTAGACATGGCCAGGATCGACTCGTCTAGTGTATTGGGACTTGAAATCATTTCTATCAACGAATTATTATATACTTACTCAAATCCGAACATTTGTCTCTTAACGTATTAAAATGGCTTCCCGAACTGCTATGCCCGTGCAAAATGTTTGAAATAAAATGAGAACTTGAAGAAAACAATCCGCTGGAAGTTCTTATAGCCTTTTCCAACTTAGAATGACTCGTTGGCGATGTGGGTGCAGACGTGCACGTTGAATGTACGAAGTTTTCCCGATCAATGGTATGTGGTGTATGCACTTCATCACTAAACTGTTTTTGGTTTCTTTTCCACTCTAACTGTTTTAGCCTTCTTTCATCCTCAGACCTTATCCATTCTAAGTGAGCGTTTTGCAGGTTTATAGAACTTTCGTTGCCCCTAATAAAATCCAATGCTATAAGGGGCCAAGCATCTAAAGTTTGTACAGCCTTATTTAATCCATCATTGAGTCCTGGCGGATTAATTTCGCCCTTTGCTTTGATATTTCTGAGATTTTTATCATAGTTAATTGATTTAAATCGATTTGATTCAGAGTCTTGTACACTTTTTTTTCTCGCCATTTTTAAATAACGCTTAATCGTATCGCTTACTGACTGAGAAATATCTTCGTCAATCGAACTTTTTCTACAACTTAAACGTGAAGAATTTAAACCATCCTGTTTATCAAGTTCTTCCAATATTTGACTATTGCAATTTTGAACCATAAACTTGTACTGTTCCGCCAAACTTTTTAGTTCGCTAAGTTGAATAAAACTAGTTTGAGTTCCACAGGTTTTTAGAATTCTTTCAGTTTTTTCTCCGTTCACAAGACATTTTTTCGGAAACTCAAAGCTTTGTGGAACATTGTTGAGATCTAAATAAAGTGAATGTTTCGCGCTTTGCGAAATTTTGCTAGTATCACATTCTTTTACACATTGGAAATTTTCATTTATTACCTTATGGTTCTTATAAGACGTATTACTTTCATGTATACCAATTTTTATTAAGCTGGACAATGAAGCTGACCGATTAACACTACATTTAGTTGGCTCTTTGGAATGTAAGGTGCGATGAAGCTGTTGTTTCCTGAGGGCGCTGTAGACTTTCTTCAATAGTACTTTATCCTCAAGAATGATTTCGGGTGCATCGCCAAGTTGCAACTGAATTCCTTCTTGTGCAAAACTAAAGCAATTAGATAAAAGTTTCAGACGGGACGTAAGCTCTGTTTCAAGAGTCATGCCGGAGGACATTATTTGATCCTTTTCATTCTCTGTTCTAAAGTTTGGTCTCTGTGCACTAGGTGATGATGTTTGGTCAGGTCGAATAGTTTTGGTACCGAGTAGCGTTGTTGTTTTGTATGCATCGCGAAGTTTAAGAAATGTCTGCAATAATTCGATAGTACGATCGGTATTATAATAATTGTTCGATGGCTCAACTCTATTCTCTCTACGGCTTGCACATGCGTGCCTCGACAATAGTTTTAATTTCCGCTTAGAGCTGCTGATTGCTCCTGGGTACGAGGTTCTTCGTCTCCATAAAATAAAACTTGGTTCAGATAGACACACTCGTTGAAATTGCTCTTCGATTAAATCAATGTTGTCCGACCCTGCCTGATAGCTGTCGGGAATGAGCTTGCGACCAGCATCTGTCATATATCTCCAAGTTTTTCGAGTTAAAAGCCAGCGCTCACGTTTTTTTTCCTTGTCTTTTGTGCTACGACGGCGTAATCTATTAACTAAAGGAACTCCTCCTGAATGCTTGCTCGCAAAATTATCTGGCTTACGTGTGCTAAAGACATCTGAAGACGGCGAAAGGAATATTTTCGAACAAGGTAGATCGTCGTTCACTTCTTCAAGCGCTTTATCCAATGGTCCTGACCTTTTTTTTACAGCCGCAATAGGGCTTCTCAAGGTCGTCAGGTACTTCGCTGATCCGGCTTCCATATTATGTTAGCACATAAAGTAAAGTGGGAAAAATACCTTTCAGTTTTTTAAATTTTCTTATTGCGATGTATTTTTATGAGGGCGTATAAATTATTATGTTTGGCACAAATTTACGCACATATTGATTTAAAAAACATCCACTCGCAAACAACCATCGGCTAAAGTTTTTTTAAAGCACATCACATATTATCATAACGGGGTGTAACATTTGTAGTGAGATTCAAAGATGATTATATTCCGACACTAATAAAGGTGCTATGTAAGCACATCAGTTTATTTATAAATGCACATTTTCTTCATGGGCGATTGCGATATACAACAAAATTTGAATATTTATGTTCTGTATATATATTTATGTGTAATGTTTGTGTCCAGGAGAAATAGTATATTGTAATAACAGAAATTTACTTATATTTCATAAGTGTTTTCTAATTACAACTTTAAGCACTGTTAAACATAAGAGCACACAAAAATAACACCAAATGCCTAGCGAGAGAGCATGAACATATGAAAATAAGGAAAATTATTTTCTGAAAAATACATGAAACGATTCCGAGTTCACGAGACATTATTTTTGAATGTATTTATGGTATACAAGAAATTCGCTTATGTACGAGTGTACCTCCATATATACAAGATTCGTTTCTGAAAAACACACTCGAGAGCATGGAACACTTTTTATATTTATAAACAAGAATAATACGGACATACATACACACAAATATTCTTGATTAACAGATAGTTTTACTTTATAATCTTCATTTTTATTACCTGACATACCTTTTGGTGATCTTATAAATATTTTTAATTTATCTCTTTCTCAGTGATTTAAGTACTGCAATAAATATACGAATATTTTGGCAGACCTTATATATAAATTACAATAATTTTTATAACATACTTTAAGTTCATGTAGCGGTTTTATTTTTAAAGCCATTTGCATCGTCCAATTTGTGTACTTTTTCAGAACTTGTGTTTGTTAGAAGGCCATGAAGTACTCCCAACCTTGTTAAAATGGACTTGTGTTTATTAAACTGTTTTAATTTGCATCCGTACTTAGGCAAGGCATAACATGATCTTTATAACAGCTGATCCCTGTTTTGATTTGAAATGGAATTTTTAAAGTCTTGTAAAATTAAAAAATAAGTATGTGGAACAGAGCTAGGAAGGTAATAAAAACGATAATAATACTTTTTAATACCATTTTGCTCCGCGCCACACAGATAAGCTAAGGAAATACCAAAAAAATCAGATGGACGTTTTTAGCCACGGGGTTGAATGAGTTTTCTATGAGGATATCTGGCAGCTTTTCGCCTCCCCGCATTATAGAATTTCCACACGTACTCAGTATGAATTTCATCTACTTGCAATACCTTCTTTTCCACACCCTTCCAGCTTTGGGTTTACACTGCTTTGCAGCATCTGATTTTTAATATTTGTTTGTGTATTTTTTAACAATATTTACAATCGCAGCATTGAAAGTAAAAATTGTTTATGCCTAAACCATTTCCGGTTTTTGCTTGGCTTAATGCAGGTCTTAGGTATCCATGTCTTGTAAGCCTGTCTTCTGAAAATATCAAAAATAATTAAGATATGAATTTAAGATCAGGAATAATAATAAGAGTAATTTCTATTATTACATCTCCGAACAAAATTAAGGGATCTTTCCAGAAAGTATGCACTGTTTGCCATGGCCGATAATTTACCCTATGATCAGCTGTTTTAAACTATGAGAAGAAAAAATCAAAAATGAACAATGCATGCGCAGCAGTTCTGGTCCCAAGAAGTCTCAATCGGTCTGGCTGAAATAAATGTAATATTTTGATTTTGTTAAAGAACTAAGTTAGTACTGAAGTACTATTTATACAACCATTTAACGAACTCCGCACACCATTTACCACTGGTAAAGATTAAAAACATTTCAAGTGACACACTAAAATGCAGAAGTTGTGTTGAAAATGGCTTCTGGAGGCTTACATTTATTAATGGCGAAAATATCTGTGGTACTAACCTATGTACACTAGTCGGCATAATTATTTTGACAAATTTTAAAGTTAAATCTTCTCATATTTTGAACTTATAATAGGAACATTTTGGCACCTATACAAAGAGCACTTCAATTCCGTTTAAATGACACAACAATGTTCTTAACCCATTAAGCACCCTTTGAAAAGTAAGCAATTTAGAAAATTTTTTGTGAAGGTCAAATTTTTAACTTTTTTCCTGGGTTTTAAAACAAAAATGTTTTGATGCAAATGTTTTGATGCAAATGTTTTGATGCAAATGTTTTGATGCAAATGTTTTGATGCAATCAAAATTAATAATAACGGCAAAAAAAAATTTCAAAATATTTTTCCTTGTATTTTTTAAAATTTTTTTGAAAATAGCTAAAAATTACAACAACAACTTTGAATCAAAACATTTTTGTTTTAAGCCCCAGGAAAAAAGTTGAAAATTTGAATTTCACAAAATTTGCTCACTTTTCAAAGGGGTCTTAATGGGTTAAGAACATTTTTGTGTCATTGAAACGGAATTGAAGTGCTCTTTCTATAGGTGCCAAAAGTTTATATTATAAGTTCAAAATGTGACTACAGTTAACATTCAAATCTTTCAAAATAATTATGCCGACTAGTGTATTTAACACTGAAATTAAGATTGTTGATCAGGGTCACTAGCCGAGTCGATCTAGCCATGTTCGTCTGTCCGTCTGTCCGTCCGTATGAACGCTTGGATCTCGGAAACTACAAAAGGTAGAAGGCTAAGATTTTCCACACATATTCTTGGGCCTCCTACGCAGCGCAAGTTTATTTCAGCCGAGCGCCACGCCCCCTCTAACGCCGACAATCGCCCACTAACGATTTTAAAATGTGTCCTGTGCCCACATCTTTAAAGATTTCCGAGAAGTATAAATGCAATTTTGTTGTGTATATTTATACCTATCGAAATGTAGAAGACATTTTTCAAATCGGACCATTCATTAAAAAGTTAAACGCAATCAAAATTTATGTACCTATCTCCCTCGCACTCCCTTTAGCAGAGGTTCGAATATTAGATAGTCGGGACACCAACCCGAGTACAGCGTTCGCACTCCCTTTAGCTGAGTGACGGGTATTAGATAGTCGGGACACCAACCCGACTATAGCGTTCTCTCTTGTTTTTTGTATTCCTTTCTACTCTACGAAATTACTCTTTTTAAATATTTCCGAATTTCCATTCTAATTTTATCAAAATCGGACGACTATAACATAGGAACGATCGAAAAATTAATGGGAAATTAAATGGAAACAAATTATAGCTCCGTTGGATTTTATTGTATTTCCTTCTACTGTAGAATATCATTTTTTTTTTAATATTTCCGAATTTCGAATTAAATTCAACAAAGATCGGACGACTATATTATATAGCTGCCATAGGGAGAGATAGAAAAAATAACACGAAATTTAAAATTTTTGCGATTTTTATGTTAATACGAACGATCTGCAATAGTATATAAGCTTGGGCTGGCCGAAGCTAGCTTCCTTTCTTGTTTTTATTTGCAAATGATATTGGATTGATTTATTTTATTGAACACCATTTTATTATTAAAGTAGGAGACAAAGAGAGAAGTGCGAGGGAGATATATGGGCGGTTCTTTGACAAACCGAACACCTTTTCTTGGGTCACATTTTTGATTTGCCTTAAACTTTTTTTACGTGTACTATTCGGAAAATTAGTAAACACGTGTATCAGGATTTGGCCGAAAAAAATTTTTTTTTTTTTTAGAATTTTTTTAGTTTGCCAAAAAACGTGAATTTTGAAAAAGTGCCCTCTCATGGAAAATCTGAATCTCCGGTTGTAGTAATCCGATTGACTTCGTGTCTTTTGCATTAATTCCTGTAAAACCTCTTCTTTAAAAAACAAAAATTAAAAAATAAAAGAGTTTTTAATTTCTTAAAAATAAAAACAAATTAAGATTAAAATTGTTAGTGGGCGATTGTGGGCGTTAGAGGGGGCGTGGCGCTCGGCTGAAATAAACTTGCGCTGCGTAGGAGACCCAAAAATATGTGTGGAAAATCTCAACCTTCTAGCTTTTGTAGTTTCCGAGATCTCAGCGTTCAAACAGACGGACAGACGGACAGACGGAGAGACGGACAGACGGACATGGCTAGATCGACTCGGCTAGTGACCCTAATCAAGAATATATAAACTTTATAGGGTCGGAAACGCTTCCTTCTCCCTGTTACATACTTTTGCACGAATTCAATATACCCTTTTACTCTACGAGTAACAGGTATAAATACAAAATCACTTCATAAAAAATACTTTTCAAAATGTAGAAGAAATTTTTTAAATCGGACCATTCATTAAAAAGTTATGAGCAACGAGGACGGAAGCTAGCTTCAGCAAGCCGAAGTTTTAATACCCTTGCAGATTTTACGAATGAAAACTTGACTAGAATAGCAACATAAATTATTAACAACAAAATATTTTATAATTGAAAAAAATAAAATTTTTAAATTTTTCACCCATTTGTTCCTATGGGAGCTATAGGATATAGACGCCCGATCGTCACGCGCTTTTACCCTAATGAAGGTATGCATAAAATAATAAGATTTGGAAAGTTTCATGTCAATAGCTTATATTCTGTGCGAAATATCCTGAAAAACGTTAAATTTTTACCGATTTCACCCTATTGTTTCTATGGGAGCTATAAGATATAGACGTCCGATCGGCACGCGCTTTTACCCTGATCAAGGTATGCGTAAAATAATAAGATTTAGAAAGATTCTTGTCAATAGCTCTGAGCGAAATATCTTCATTTTGTGAAAGCTATATCCGATTGTTCCTATGGGAGCTATAGGATATAGACGTCCGATCGGGTCGGCTTTCAAACTTGATCTGCGCACACATGTATTAGGACGACTGTGAAAGTTTCAAGGCGCTAGCTTTTAAACTAAGCTCGCAAATGGTATTGAAACAGACATACAGACGGACATACGCTCTGCAAGGGTATAAAAATAAAAAAATGTTATTTTTGACTTCTATTGTAGTGAAATTTTAATTCGTGAAATCTGCAAGGGTATTAATAGCTTCCGTCCTCGTTTTTAAATAAGTCGGGGGTGTCACAGAAATAATTTTCAACCAAAGAAGATTACTTTTATGCAATGATATACGTAAAAATCATAACGGATTTTGGTTAGAAAAGAATTTTGTGAAACCCCCGAGTCAAGTAGATTTGCATCCAAACATTTCTAATTTGGCCGATTTTAGCCCAACTAAAAATGATTCGTGATATTCCTATATTAACTATTTAAAAGTTTGACTAGAAGCTCCCGATATTCTAGTAAGGGGTTCTTTGGAGAATTTAAATAACTTTAGTGTGCTCAACAAATTCACCAAATTGGAGGGCTTTTTACTGATTTCAAAAACAAAAACAAAATTTTTAACCCATTGCTATCTATTATCTGTACTACTTTAAAATTAAAAAAAATTCGTTATTACCAGGATATTATATTATTTTCTTAACACAATTTGATTTTTTTCAAACGACCCAGCAGACATGCGCGAATATTTCAAGGGTTGCAGGAAATCCAAAAGTTTCCCTGAAAGCCAACGCACAGGAACTTCACAAAGCACAGTGAAGGGGATGAAACAAGCTTACTGCTGAAAAAATTTATTATCGATACCCAGTACATAAGTGAAAGAGCTGAAAGCTTTTAATGAAAATATGAGCCAGCAAATATACTTATATTTACATATATCTAAAATACAGGTCGTGAAAACCGCAAATCTATAAAAAACAACTTTATCTATTCGCTGTATTATACTTGTGTGGAAGTGTTGAATTAAATCAAAGTGTTCGGATCTTAAGCTCGTCTTAATATATGCATATATATGTGCTATCGTCGTGGGCACAATGCTAACTTAAATACATAGAACATATGTATTATGATAAAAAGTAATCGCTGTAAATGAATTAATACAACATGACGCGTGGCAATATTGCCACACACTCGGTTAATTCCTCAATTAAAATCAAACCATTCATTATTTTGATCTTAAATTTTAACATATGCTTTCACCATATCAGTGCATCTTCGTTTTTAAACCTCAACGGTAAGACAAATTTGTAGTGCTAAACTGGGTGATTTCTTTACACATTTGAAAATATGAATTTCTTTTAGATTTAACCAATTCTGATAGACCGTTCTTTGATGATATAAGCCCAAGGAATGTGTCCGCTGTCGTTGACGAAATTGCGATTTTGAGATGTCGTGTTAAAAATAAAGGAAATCGCACTGTAAGTATATGTATTTGCTTTAATATTATTAACATGTGTAATTGTAATGTAATGAACTCTAATTCTTCTAAGTAGCACCAGTTTACAAAATAAAATCGGGACAATATAATTTTACGGCAACTTAGCGCTTCCTGATTAAGAAGGGATACTTACAATGCTGTATTTTACCAATTAAAAAAGTTTTTATCCTCTTTTAAAGTTCGGAGACATTTATACCGCTTTAAGTGTGTACACTCAAAATAAAGTTTACCCTAAGTTTTAGAAAATCGCCATTAAAATACAAGAATGTTATTTCTAAATCTAAGGAAATTATATTAAAATCAAAAAAGTTTTTCTTAAATCAAGGAAGTTTTTCTTAAATCAAGGATGTCTTTCTAAAATGTAGAAAATGGTTACCAAAAACTAAAATACTCCTAAAAACTAGTAAAAATGCCCTTAGAATTGGAAATTATTTTCAGAAAAATAGAAAGGCAAACGAAAATAACAAAATGTTTTGGCAACATCTTTACTAACAAGAAAGGAAGCTAGCTTCGGCCAGCCTAAGCTTATATACCCTTGCAGATCATTCCTATTAATTAACAAATCGCTAAAATGTTCAATTTTCTAATATTTCTCATTAATTTTCCGATCGTTCCTATGGCAGCTATATGATATAGTCGTCCGATTTTGATCAAATTAAAATTGAAATTCGGAAATATTTAAAAAGAGTCATATCCTAGAGTAGAAGATAATACAATAATAACCAAAGAAGCTAGAATTTATTTCCTATTACTTTTCCATTCATTTTCCGATCGTTCCTATGGCAGCTATATGATATAGTAGTCCGATTTTTTAAATAATTAATTCGAAATTCAGAAATATTTAAAAAATAACATCCCCAAAAGTAGAAGGTAATATTTCAAAAAACATCAGACGGACAGACGGACAGACGGACGGACAGACGGACAGACGGACATGGCTAGATCGACTCGTCTAGTGATGCTGATCAAGAATATATATACTTTACGGGGTCGGAAACGTCTCCTTCACTGCGTTGCAAACTTCTGACTGAAATCATAATCAAATAAAAACACCTCTTAACGAGGTAAAAAACTAGTGACGATCGCACCTTCAACGTACAAAAGTTCTGATATCAACTTTTGTGACGAAATATGATTTTAGATGCGACTAAATAAGTACGCTACCTAAAATTTACTTTCGTAACGAATTTCGAATTTTAGCTATTTATAGCTGTTTTCCCGCTAAACTAGCGAGTTTTTCCAAAAGTGATAAAACAAAAGTTTTTTATATCGATGTGATAAACGTCATATCAAATTTTCAAAACTTAAAAAACATGTTTTGGACAAACTGACAAACAGAATTAAATTTTCATTTTGGGAAGACGAAGAAAATCTTATTTTGGCTACGGAGCGTCGGATTTTAGCATATGACCCCTCATTCAACGGTTATTTTCAATAGGAACATAATTAAAACATTGCGAGGGGGCATTTATCCCCACCGGCCCCAACAGCTCCAAAATTCGAAATTTTCACTTTTTCACTTTCACCGCTCTCTCTCCCAAGCCAATTGATTTTCTTAAAGTCTTGGTATGCAATCCTTTAAGTTTTTGCAATACCTTTCGATTGGTGTATTACTCATTACGATCGGACTATCACAGCAGATTTTCAATTTTGCGGCTATATAATAGTAGTCGCCTTCGCACACTCTCCTGGTGCGCTTCGTCACTACATGGACTGCCGTCCATAGTGATACCCTCTGCAAGGGTATAAAAAGGGGTGCCCTAACCCTAAAATTAAACTAACCCTAAATAATAGAAATGTTTTCTAAAAAGTATAAAGTATACACCTCTAAAGATTTCCGAGAAGTATAAATGCAATTTTGTTGTGTATATTTATACCTATCGAAATGTAGAAGAAATTTTTTAATCGGACCATTCATTAAAAAGTTAAGCGCAATCAAAATGTTATATATCCATCTCCCTCGCACTCCTTTTAGCTGAGTGACGGGTATTAAATAGTCGGGACATCAAACCGACTATAGCGTTCTCTCTTGTTATACCCTTGCAGAGGGTATTATGATTTCAGTCAGAAGTTTGCAACGCAGTGAAGGAGACATTTCCGACCCCATAAAGTATATATATTCTTGATCAGCATCACAAGACGAGTCGATCTAGCCATGTCCGTCTGTCCGTCTGTCCGTCTGTCCGTCTGTCCGTCCGTTTCTACGCAAACTAGTCTCTCAGTTTTAAAGCTATCGGGATGAAACTTTCGTAAAAGTCGTATTTCTATTGCAGGTAGTATATATGTCGGAACCAACCGGATCGGACAACTATATCTTATAGCTCCCATAAGAAGGATCAAAAAAAAAACTTAAAAAAATTCTAGCTCCGGTGTTTTTTGAAATTTTACCTTCTACTCTTGGGAATATTTTTTTTTATATGTTATAGTAGATCGAACTACTATATCATATAGCTGTGATAGAAAGGATCGAAAAATTAATGTGAAATAATAAGAAATTTAACATTTTTGCGATTTGTAAATTAATAGAATGATCTGCAAGGGTATATAAGCTTCGGCTTGCCGAAGCTACCTTCCTTTCTTGTTTTTTACTTTTTTTATGATGGCAAGCGATAAACCGAAAATAATTAGCTTTTTCCTATTTTAGTATATAAATGGTGTTATTTTAGAGGTATAAAACTTTAAGTTGGCATCACTGTTCAAGATGGCGACCGATTTAACAGCTGTCAAGTGATTTATTCTCTTGGTTTGGCAATTCATCATGAATAGACTTACGCCTGAACAACGCTTGCAAATAGTGCAATTTTTTTTCGAAAGTAATCGTTCAGTGCGGAATACGTATCGCGCACTACGTCCATTTTATCATCGGCAAAATCGTCCATGGAACGTTTTCGCACCACGCTTACTCCTATTGATAACTCGGAAATAATACAAACAAATAATAACTAAAAAAATTTTAAAATTATTGTTTATTAAATGGACGGTTAAATAAATAATTGTAAGTTTTTAATAGATTAAAAAATGACTTTTTACTTTTTGTCATTCAGAAATTGTCAAAAGACTTAAAACTTAACGATGAGAAAATGTGAATTCCATAAGAATCCGATAAGAGTGAGAGAGTAGACCTACATGCTGCGACGTTTTTTCATTGAAAAAAGCCGAGGCCTTGTTAGAACAAATTCGATATTTTAAAAACTAAAAGTGGCTCCAACTTTTTACAAAAACCGATTGTAACTAACAATATGGCGCAAGTATTAAAAAAAAAAATTTTTTTTGTGGGGGCAATGGTTAAAATTTGTTTTTCATTTTTAAGAAATTAAAAACTTTTTTTTTAGAAATTTTATTTTGAAAGAAGAGGTTTTAGAGGAATTAATGCAAAAGACATGAAGTCAATCGGATTCATATAACCGGAGATACAGATTTTCAATGATTTGACGGTTTTTGGCAAACTTAAAAAAATTCTAACTAAAAAAATAATTTTTTATCGGTCAAATCCTGATACACGTGGTTACTTATTTTCCGAATAGTATGTGTAAAAAAAGTTTCAGGCAAATCAAAAATTTTACATTTTTTTTTGCCAAATCTGTTTGGTTTGTAAAATAACGGCCCACGTGCAAGAATTGAGGCCAAACGATCATCAAGCAAGGCGTAGAGTCGTCGAATGGGCCCAAAACGAGATTGTCGTTGTTCCCGATTTTCATAAGCGAATTTTGTTTAGCGATGAAGCGCACTTCTGGTTGAATGGCTACGTCAACAAACAAAACTGCCGCATTTGGAGTGAAGCTAATCCTCAAGTGTATGTCGAAACACCGTTGCATCCAGAAAAACTGACTGTTTGGTGCGCTTTATGGGCTGGTGGAATCATTGGTCCGTACTTCTCCAAAAACGATGATGGCCAGAACGTTACAGTCAATGGTGATCGGTATAGAGCCATGATTACTAACTTTTTCATTCCTGAGGAGTTTTAGAGGAATTAATGCAAAAGACATGAAGTCAATCGGATTCATATAACCGCAGATACAGATTTTCAATGAGAGGGTACTTTTTCAAATTTGACAATTTTTGGCAAACTTAAAAAAATTCTAACTAAAAAAATAAAAAATTTTTTACGGTCAAATCCTGATACACGTGTTTACTTACTTTCCGAATAGTAACTGTAAAAAAAGTTTCAGGCAAATCAAAAATGTGACTCAATAAAAGGTGTTCGGTTTGTAAAAGAACCACCCATATAATAATAACCTTAACATTCATAGATACAAGACACACCAGACATATTATATGTACATAAGAGAAT